CACTTCAGAAGGCGAACTATACAACTGTCTGGCAATGTCGGGGATAAGGGCACCCCGGGCATAAGTCGTAGAGGTCACGCCATTTGTCCAGACTCAGCTCCTGAGGGTCAATCCTGACCAGCGCATCACGAGAGGGTCGAACGCTTCCCCCTCGGGCATCTCCCCCATAAAAAGAGCTTGGAAAGGTCCTTGGAGCGGGCTCAGGTGCGACAAAGATCACGCACCATGGCAGGACGGGCTGCTTTGGCTGACCTCGCCTTCCCGACGCGCTCCTTGCCCTGTGAGCTCCCAACAGTCTCCCTGGGGGTAGGACCACTAGACTGCCCCCTGGGCTATCGCCGGCTTTGGCGGCAAACATTTGAGCTGCGACAGACTCAAGTATATTTGGTGTCCTGGTTTTCGGCTTCTTATGCGGGTGGTCAGGCTCCAGGCTCCTCGGCCGACCCGAATCTCTTGCAGGTTGTGTGGCGGAAGGATTAGATTGAGGAGCCACAAAGGCACGGGACATCCCCCGCAGGTGCCCAAGATTCACCATATCTGTCCAAGAAATCAAAAAGCGTCAGTAACATCAAACAACGCCAAGACGACTAGTAAAAGGGGGATTGGCCCAAGCCGTATCCCGAGGCGCCGGAATAAGGCCAACCTCGACCAACCACTCCTCGGTCATGTCCCTAATAGCCCATGAGGTAGCGAGAATCCCCTTCAAGTGCCCTAGTTGCTCGTACTCATCGTTAGACAACCCGGGGCAGCTGTTGTTGATCACTCGAGCTGACCATATGAGGCTAAACCCCCACCCCCGACTACAGCTAACAAAAAAGTAGTGGCTCTTCCACCCTTTGTTGTTGGAAGGCGCCCCGCTCACCCTAAATCTACCGTAAGAGGATAGAAAGTAGTTGTCTGACTCCTTAGAAAGACGAAAGTAGGATAGGAAAAGAAAGCGGGTCAGGGTGATAGCCGCTCCTCGGCACTCCTCAAGGAAGGCCACTATATACCTCCACGAGTTCGAGGCCATCTGTGATGGCGAGATCCGCCACCAAGAGAGGCAAGCCTTGATCACCGGGTGTAAGGGAAACCTAAGCCCGACCTCAAGGGAGTCAAGAGTTAGTCCGAACCCACCCGAGAACGGGTCGTAGGCCCATTGCTCAGACCGAGGGACGTGTAACTCATATTCGCTCAAGATACTATAACGATCCTTGATGCGGCCAAGTAACTCCACTATATACCTCGGAATCGTGTAGGGATTTCATGACCTCTAGGACCCGAACAATTTTCTCGCTCATGAGACATGTCCCACCAAACGATGGACCACTATTCAAAGTTGACGTTGCAACCTCAGACCCCGACCTACTAGAAGAAGAAGAAGAAGAAGAGAAGGAAGTGGACATCTTGACTAGGCGTTTACCGACTAAGGAGAAAAGGAGGGAAGGGGAACCTGGAGCACAGGAATGGACTTAGCCAAAAAACAAATGAGCGAATAGGGAAAGTGGGAAGGGGGTTTTATAGGGCAAAGCCCCATTAATCGAGGCGACCTTTCGCCCCCCCCCCCTAGAAGGGCAGCAGTCCCTCTCCTCGCCATAATAACCCCTAAAGAAGCATAAGTCCCGAGGCAAGCGTCTTCGCCATGGTGGGAAATTTCCCACCAGGATATAAATTTCCCGCTAGTACAGAAGCTTCCTGCCAGTACAGAAGCTTCCAGCTAAGGCAGAAGCTTCTCGCTAGGGCGAAAATTTCCCGCTAGGGCAGAAATTTCCCTCTAGGGCACAGAAGTTTCCTGCCAAAACTAACGAGGGGGGAAGATTCCTGTCTGATTCGTTTCGACCGAGGGCAAAGCAGAGCTACTCGCCCACACCAGTCACACAGTGCCTGAACCGTGCTGCTCTGTCACATCAGTCATAAAGTGCTTGAGTCATGCCGCTCGGCCACATCAGTATATAGTGCCCGAATCGTGTTGCTCGGTCACATCATTCATACTGTGCCCGAATCATGCTGCTCGGTCACATCAGTCATACAATGCCTAAATTGTGCCACTTGGTTACATCAGTCATACAGTGCCCGAATCGGACTGCTCGGTCACATCAGTCATACAATGACCAAATCGTACCACTCGGACACGTCAATCATATAGTGGCTCGACCATGTCAATCATACAGTGCCCGAGTCATGCCGCTCGACCACGTTTGTCATACAGTGCCCGAACCATGCTGCTCGATCACATCAGTCATACAGTGCCTGAACCGTGCTACTCGGTAACATTGGTCATACAGTGCTTAAATCGTGTTGCTCGGTCGCATCAGTCATATAGTGCCCGAATCGTATTGCTCGATCACATCAGTCATACAGTGCCTGAATCATACTGCTCGGTCACATTAGTCATACAATGCCTGAATTGGAGTGCTCGGTCACATCAGTCATACAGTGCCCAAATCATGCCGCTCGACCACCTCAGTCATACAGTGCCCGAGTCATGCCGCTCGACCACATCAGTCATACATTGCTCGAACCATACTGCTCGGTCATATCAGTCATACAGTGCCTAAACCGTGCTGCTCGATCACATCGGTCATACAGTGCCCAAATCGTGCCGCTCAGTCACATCAATCTTCAGTACGCGAGCCATCCAACTCAGTCACACCAGCCTACAGCACCCAGGCCTTGCTTTTTGGTTATGTTGGCATTCAATAACCTGATCGTGACACTCAACTGCATCGATCCTTCAATATCTAAGCTAAGGTGCCCACTGACTTCGACCGAATCACCATGCCTAGCATCGAGCAACGTCGCTCACCTAGTCAAAATCCCAATAATATTTCCTAATGGACCCTGTCTAAGACCGATCTTCGCTCCTAGAGGTCCCCGGCAAACCACCTGCTATACCACTAGTCATTACACGGGCAGGCCTGACTTACGAGATCACACCATGCCATGCACTAGGCCCCTCGGGGAGCAACTCGGCACAAGTTGCTCTCTGAGGGGGGGAGAGAATGATAGGGCACATTTTGGTAACTTAACCACTATTCACAACTACATCAGCGTCAATGTCAATATACCATACCACACCCCTCGGTCAACACCATTCCATAAAGGTCAGACGACACCGACCAAGTATAGCACCGTCTTGCAAAGATTGGGACAGCGCTGACCGAGTACTGTGCCATCCCGCAAAGGTTGGACGGCGCCGACCGAGTACAGTGCTGTCCCGCAAAGATTGGGTCGATATTGACCAAGTACAGCGCCATCCTGTAAAGATTAGAATAGCGTTGACCGAGTACCGTGTCGTCCTGCAAAGACTGGGTTGACACCGACCAAGTACAGCGCCGTCCCGTAAAGATTGGGACGACACCGACTAAGTACCGTGTCGTCCTACAAAAGTTGGGACTATGCCACCCGGGTATAGCGTCGTCTCGCAAAAGTTAGGATGACGCCGACCAAGTACAACGTCGTCCCACGAAGATCGGGGCAACGTCGATCAAGTACGACACCACCGCTCAAACGTTGTGACACCGAGGATGCCCAACATCCGCCTCAAGAGTAAGTCCGCCGCTTGGTGGGTCGATAACCATAAATATGGTAGGTATGGTTGGTCCCCTAGTGGAGGGATAAAAACCGGTGACAAAGGTAATTCTTGGTTCATTTTCCACCAAGCTCTAACAAAATCTTCGGAAAGATTGAAGTCGGGAGCCCCCTTCCCGACCCTGATTGCGTGTAGGGACAATTGATAGAGAGGGAGGCTACTAACCAAGGGGAGTTTCCAGACCTTGAAGCAAAAGCCCAAGCTCGACCTCATCGGACGACGATCTCCATCGCTTATGTGCCGACGTGAATGATCTTGCGCACCCAGGACTGGATCAAGTTGTGCTGACTCCCTCTGCCACGACGTAGGTATGTTACGAGACACATTAAACATATATATTTGATTTATCAATTAACTTAAGTATTATAGGAGGTATTATCCAATATAGTTTTGTATGATTCAAAGGAGTTCATCTTGACATCAGATTGAAAAAAAAAAAAAATCAGGTTGACTAAAAAAAAAATGATCATCTTTTTTAAAGGAGTACCGATTTATAAAAATAAAAATACGAAAGGAGTTATTGAAAACTAATAGCTGTAAAGTTAAAAAAGAAAAAAACAATTGATCAAGATATATATATATATATATATATATATGTATATTTATATATACATCTATAAATGTATATATATGTATATATATACATGTATATTCATGTATATATGTATATATACATATATATATATAGACACACATATATATATATATATATACATATATGTATATATATATGTATATATGTGTGTCTATATATATATATATATGTATATATGTATGTATATATATAATATAATAT